TGAACAGAGCCTTGAAAAAATATTAAATGTTTTTTCTGCTGCGTTTCTCATGAGTGGTTAATGGGATTATGATTTTTGAAGTGGTTTTCAGGTTTTTTATTGTATAACCGTTATGACTCATTCGAAGCCTATATCAGTACATGCTTCCAGAATCTGAGAACAAAACTAATTAAAACAGTGCTTTGCTTTAAATGTCTCTCTAAATATATAACTTGGAAATAAAATGCAGAACTAACATAATTTTCTTTTTTCTTTTTTTTTTCCCCTCCTTAACCCTTTCCTAATATCCAACCACTGTTCCCTTTCTTTTCACATTGCATCATCCCACCCTTTTTTGTCCTGTTCTCTGCATGCTGCTGTGCTGGCGTCAAGACCCTTCAGCCCTCTCCACAACCGGTCCAGTACTCCGCCAGCTCCTGCCCCCAAGTCCTTCTGCCAGTTTCACCTCCCCAGCAGTACAATCTGGTATATTCACTTAACTGTTCCCTCCTCCTATCTTATTGGAGCTCTGCTTGTGTGAGGGGTTGGTAAATGGCTAGCAGTCCTTTCAAATGGAAAACTATTTAGGGACTGTGATTCTAGGTTTGGATGCAAGCTCACTTTTTGTTTGCGAGATGTTTAACATAAACTGCAGTTGATTTTTTAAATGTACTAAAAAATGGTTACCTGTACTTCGTACCAATACAGTGCAAGACTGTACCCACTTCAAGGGCTTTTCCTGGATATATTTTGGTACGAGGCAGACATTTTTTAAGACTTGTTTAGTAATAACCTGTTTAACCAAAGTTGACATTCAAGGACTAGACAGACCAATTCTAACACTTCTTACATATTTTTTGATCCCTCACTTCACCCCACAGCTGTGCCTATTATAAGTGTGTCATGCTCATATTAATGAATTTTGTGGTTTGAAGTGTGTTGTATATTATGAACAATCCAGTAGAGGTAAGGCAAGTTCTTTATCAATCCATTGAGGAATATAGGAAGTCTTAAAACTCTGTTATACTCTTGCCAAGAATAGGATTGGGCACTTCCAAACAAACCATAGGCCAGCCTGTGGTAACCCTTCCACTACAGGCATGCCACAGATTTTTGATAATTTCCTAGTGGGCTGGATGTCTTTTGTACAGCTCTGCTGTGTTGAGACTAAAGTTGGGTTCACACGTACCAAAAGTCGACCAGTTCAGTAGGAACCGGCCAAGTTTCGGTACACGTACTACTGTCTGTTCAATCTAACGACCGGTTTCTGTCAGCGCTTGCAGCCAATGGCTGCAGCTCTGATCTGTGTATTCTGGCAGGGTAGTCCCCTCTGTTAGAATACAGTAGTGCAGTGGGTGCTTGGATCTTTGATCTGGAAAAGGAAAAAAAAATTAAAAAAAAATCAATGTGCATATGCTGCTTAACTGGTTTTTGCTAACATAATTTTCCTTCAGGCAAGACTCTTCTCTATACTGCTGCTTGCGCTTTGTCTCTTCAATTGCAGCTTTCTGGCAGTGTTGTCCCCAGCCTGGCTTGTGAAATACTGTTTCTGAACCCTACTGAGATAGCCTGGAGGTGACTTTTTGGCACTGGGTTCCACACACAAAATTTTTTCAGACTCTGTTCTGGTAAGCACTTTCTAAGTCGAGCCTTTGCCATTGCCTTACCGCTTGCCTCGCTGCTTGCCTCATCTCTGAAGATTTATTAGTGAGTAGGCTGATCAGGCTAAGCCCCAGGGGCTACTTGAATTTGTTGGTTGCTGGGGTGCCTTTAGTCCCTGTTCCACTGTTTTTGCACTAATAGAGGTTAAAGCTGAGAGACTGAGCACTGACGTCCTCCACTGTGGAGAGTGGCACGCATGTTTCATGCTCTCTCTCCCAACATCTTAAATTGTAAGCTCCAAGGAGCAGGGCCCTCCTAACCCTCTTGTATTGAACTGTATTGTTGCTGTATTGTCTTCAGTTATATTGTAAAGTGCTGAGCAAACTGTTGGCGCTATATAAATCCTGTATAATAATAATAATAACCTCAAGGAGGCAACTCTTTACCCCACTGCTGATCCTGCTTGATATAAGCTGTGTGATATTTGCTCCCAGCTTACAATGACTTTGGTCACCTACAGCTATCCATCCCTCACCTGCTAACTGCTGTCTTGGTTACATAAGTACCTGAGGACTTTTCTCTTACCCGAGCTTATATGTCATTTATATTGCCCCTGGGATCGCAACAGGTCTGATTCTGAAAAGGGTGCCCCCAGCTCACATACAAAGGGGTCTGAAGCTGTTTGGTAAGGGTGCAACATCTTTAGACTTAAATCATGTTATCCTCTGCTTTTATTGTGTGATCTGTCCTCTGAGCTTCCTTTAGGAGGTGTCTGAACCCCTTTTTACTTTAGGAGGTGTGCCTGAACCCCTTCGGTTGAGGGCTTTTTTTTTTTTTTTTTATACCATGATCATGCAAGATTTTATGACCCAAATTAGTTTCACTTACTGATCACAGAGGCCACAAGCACACAACCACACCCTCTCCTGCAGATTCTTTATCTCTATTGGCTTTAGTGGCTTCCTAGCCATTGGCTGCAGAGATTCCAATTTTGAGTTGCTTTAGTCCTTGACTGATGAGCTTACCCCTGAGGACTTGCAGTCTGCTATTGTCCCAAAATTAAAAGAAGACTCTTCTGGCTCTTATAAATACAGTGCCCACCAACCTGAAACTAAAGGATCAGCCTGTTACATTTACCATTTCTGCTTCCAGCCTTGAGTTGTTTAAAACTCCTAAGGCTTCAGACACTTTCCCATGATAACCACTGTTTCAGCTTTTTTTCTACGGAGATTGAAACATCCTGACAAGCTTTTTGCTTCCCCTAAATACTTTTTGGACTTGTATCCATTTAGTGAGGATTTTTTGCAGAAATGATCTATTCTCACTGTGGATTTGGCAATGTATGGCGTTAACAGGTCACTTACTATTCTAGTAGTGGACACGCCTTTCTTTAAGGGCCTTTTCTAGATTCCTGTTTTTGCTGGCGGGCCCTGCCTTTCATCTGATCCTAACTGTGACCTTACTCACATCTGACTGGTCCCTTAAATGAAATTTAACTGCTGTTAAGCTTGATCCCTTGAGTGACAACTATAGTGGTAAATTTCAGCTGTGACTGTTAACTAGAAGCCTCCTGTCTCATTTTTTTTCATGTCAGTGGAAATGCATATGACGTTTTTGGTTAGTGTTGGAGTGTGGAACCCTTTCAAAAGTGTTTGATCTGTATAGCCTTTGAGGGACAGAGAGAGAGACATCATCGGAGAATGCTTTTGATGTGAAGAGCAACCATCTGCCCTAAGGATCAGACTGCAAAGTTCTCTTTCCATCTATTGGGAAATGTCTATTTTGTTTCTCCACTCCAAAACCTCCAAGTCTAGACTCGGTTTGGTTCCCCGTACACCTGCAAGTCCTTGCACACAAGTCTGGTAAACTGGACAGGGTGGTTTCCAGGTACAGAGGCCATCTATCAAAATCAGTGGATGCTTTGGTTGCTCTGAGATCAAAACACCCACAGTTCCTCCTTGTTTGATTTGCAGGATCAAGAGGGAGGACATTCCAGTGATCCTTATTGCTCTAGACTGGGACCAGACGCATATGATACACCTTACCCATTAATATGCCTGGCAGATGCTCCATGGGCACTAGCAAAATTGTCAAGATCTTTTGTTCCAAAGACCAGCGTGACATACCGTTTCATGGTTCCTGGCTTTATTGACTTGGCTGTTGAAGCCCAGTTTTTGACGAACAGGTGCATTTGAGTGTGCGATTCCTACGATACTAGAGCATTGGACGTCTACTTCTTGCATGGTCTCATCAGACATGGAAGGCATACTTCACTCGATGTGAGTCTTGGGGCTTCCACCCTAGGAGTTTTTGTTGTATGGATTCTCTTTCCTGTAGCTGGGTTTACACCAGTGTCGGGCTGTTAGCACGATCAAGGGTTAGGGTTCTGGCCTTTATAATCTATTTCAGAGATTATAATTTTTAATAATTATATATTATATATATTAATATAAAATATATATAATAATAAACTATGTAACTCCCCCTTATCATTCCCCTGTGACAACGTGGGATCTGAATCTGGTTCTCTCAGTGCTTCAAAAACTGTCGTTTGAACCAAATAGAAATGCTTCTCATTCTACTGTCACCCATAAAGTGTTTTTCTTTCAGCCACAGTGAAGAGAGCGCCTGAACTGCTCCAGCTTTTTCCTGCAAGGGACCCTTTTTGGTTCTGCATAGGGAAAAGATGGTGTTAAGGCACAGGACTTTCTTCTTTTTCTAAAGTAGTTTCTGCCCTTCACCCTCAACCAGGACATTGTTCTTCCGTCCATCCCAGGCTACTAGGATGTTCCCTGCAAGATAACAAACCTTCACTTTTTTAAATTAACTTATACATGTTTTTACTCTTTCCCTTTTGCATTTTCCATGCCCAAGATTTTAAGTGAAATACCAAAAACTGAAATAACTTTTTAGCGTGGGCCAGTGGATTATGGTTTCTTATGCTCCTTACCTGCATTTTGCAAATTGTCGTGGGAGGCATTGTAGGGATGTTGCACCAGTGAAACCGACTACTTTCCACCTACTATACATTAGTTGGGTGCAATTGCGATTTAAATTTGATGACTGTGCAATTATGTCCCCTTCACTTCATAGCTTGTATTGTAGAAGTTTGAAAACAGTATGGGACTCCTTTGAAAGTCTGCTTAGCTAAATTGTTTTGCTGGGTAAATCTCAACAAGCAGGGTTCCATTATTTTTTCTGGTTTTCATATGTATCTGCTTGACTATCACCCTTTGAATAACTGTTATACTAATGGCTTATTACTGATCTGTCTCTTTTAGCTGAATAAAATATGCTTTTTATGCCACACAAAAAACATTTGCTCACTGTTTTGACTTGGTTATATCAGGCTCTTTGTTTTTACAAGGTAATTGTATGTGCAGAACCTAAATTTCTCATTGACCTGTTTTCAATGACAGGCTGATGATTTGAACAGTCACTTTGGGCAGATGACTCTCAGTCGGCAGGGTTCATCTGAGGCTCCTGATCCTTCTACTGCCATCTACCAGTCACCTCTTATATCCCAGCATCCCCAGCAAGCTGGCTTCATCATGACATCTGGGGGACAAGCCATCCCTCCGACTGGCTACCCTTCCTCAGGGCACCCTTCCCCAACCCAGCAAGTCATGCCACCACAGGGATTCATGCAGCCTCCACAACAAGTAGGTATTGTAAATAAATGTCATATGGCTGTAATGTCTTTATGACCAATTGTGCTTGCAATATTTGATTGACTTGTTTAAAAGCAGTCTGCCAGGTTTTTACCGAATGATCAGTTCCATCAGCGATAGCCAGCAACACTAATTGTATTCTGCCAGCAGGGAAGGCTCCCCGCCAGCAGAATATTGTAGCTCAGGGTAGTGATTCCCCTATCCACATCAGATGTGTGAATTAGGGAATTTGTTAAATTTTTTTTTTTGTCTTTTTTTTTTTTTAATTTCAACCAGTGGGTCGGGCATCTTTTTCCCCGCACCCACTTTCACAATTCAAAAAGATCATCGCCATTCGCAGCTCTGCCCACATGGCCACGTCATTCATTCACAGAGTTCTGTGAATGAGTGGACTACAAGTACCAACAGCCTTTCCGGCTGATGGCTTGTAGTTGTTAGTGAATTACCAGGGTGCTGTTAAGCAGACAGCTTACACTGAATGTCTACAGGAGCCTTGCATTGCACCCGCAATGTGCTGATGTAGTAGTTCTCAAAAACCTTGTAAGTGAATATGTTCATGAAAAAGTGAGCATTACAGTTTCATTGGACTTTGATGTGGCTCATCAATCGCAGTGCTGGGTGTTCAGTTGGATTCTTCTGGGGAGGAGGAAATCTCCCTAACCTGTAATAGTTGGGGTTTTAAAGGAAATTATTGTGTTATTAAAGGAAAGCTGCTCTTTCTAGACTTGCTACATTATGTTTTCTAGAAAGCTTTAATATTTTACTGGTTGGGTTCATTATTTTTTTGCAGTTTCTCTTTAAAACTACCAATGTACACCTGCTTTTTATTTTTTTTTATATTACATTCCAAATTATTAAAGTGGTATTAAACCCAAAAGCAAACATTTGTTTTATTGCTGCTTATCAATTCTTACATGTGATGGCTGAATTCTTTTTTTTTTTTTTTTTTAAGGATTAATTTCCTTTATTTTCACCTGGTGATCTTGGCAGTAAGTCTGTTTTCAACAGAACAAGCTCTCCTGATGATATAGCAGTTAGAGGGTTGAGACAAACCATTTACTACTGACAGGTGCTTACAATGATCAGCTTTTTTTTAATGTAAAACATTTATCCCAAAAGGAAATAAAACAGTTGGTAACTGCCTAAAAAGTGTTAGCTGGAATTTGGCTTCAGTTTAATGTATTTAAATAAGCTAGTGCATATAAAACACCCCTCCCCCTAGACTGCAGTGCTGTTGTCCAAATGTGTCTCTGTTTCTCCTTCATCCAGAGTGGGGGCACTCTAATGCAAGAGATATGTTATTGGTCAGATTACCAAGTAAACACAGGGAGAAGAAAGCCTAAAAAAGAAAATTATGCAGCCACCACATCTAATGATTGGTAAGCTGCAATATATTACATTTTTTGGTTTTGGGTTTCATACCTCTTTAAGGTGTCTTTGGAGAAGGATTTTGTATTTGAACCATGAATGGGTACTCTAAAATTAGGATTGCACATGCTTATACAGCTTTGCTATTTTTAGGGAATTTTCTTGAAGCAGATTTTATCAGAAATATGCTTACAAAAAACTGACTTCTATGTTCTCTGTTTTTTTTTTTTTTAAATCTATATTGTCTTCAGATTCAGGTCTCTTATTATCCCACGGGTCAGTACCCAAACTCTAGCCAGCAATACCGACCTCTCTCGCACCCAGCAGCCTACAATTCACAGCGCAATCAGCAGGTCACCCAGCCGCCTCAGCAACCTGGTGAGATGTTCTTTAAATGTAAGGAATGTATAATGATGGTCATGTTGACCACAATTTATTTATTTTTTTTTTGCTTTTTTATGATCCTACAAATACTCTTGTGTATTGTTCCTTCTTTTTTTTCATCTCCATCCTTGTTTTCATTCTCTGTGGGGAAAAAGTTATTTTAAAATGTCCATTTGCATCAAAGAAAATTATCATTTTGCTTACCCCTAACTTGCAGATTTGGTCTTGTGGTTTGGTTGACTGTATTAAATAGAGAAGTACAGTTATTTAATTTTGCCTGTTGGATGAAATCCGTAAACTCATTGCACACAATGGATATAGAAAAGAATCACCCCCCTTTTTAAAAAAGCACATTTTGTTATTTTGCAGCCTGAAATGAAGACAGTTTGTTTTATCCAGCTGTATTTTCTCAGTGCAACTTATAACATCCAAGTGTCAGATATAACACCAGCATGTCAGAAAAACATAAAAAGAATCCAAAAACAGAATCAGTGAGTTGGAAAAAAGACCCCCCCCCCTCTAAAATGAATTGTAAACTCCCACTGTACTTAATCAGTAAGTTATATTTATTAATATCACAACTTAGAAGTAACTGTAAGGCTGGCCATAGACAGGTCGGATCTCAGCCAGTTCAGCAGGAACCAGCCGAGATACGAACCTTGTATTGGCAGGTTGAATGTACCAAGTTGATCTATCAATCGATCAACTTGGGTACAAACAGCCTGCTAGATTTACTAGCAGCTGCTAGCGATAATCACTGTCTTCTCTCAGTGGGGACGGCTTCAGGAGAAGACAATAGCTCGACAGGAGGGATTCCCCTGTCAGCACTGTTTGTGTTGATGGGGGAATTGTGGTTGCAGGAAAAATATTGGTACAGTCTTTGGCCTGCTTGGCACATTCCTTTTTGTTATTTACAGTTTGCTATAATTCCTTTCTGTTTTATATACTACAGGTATGCAGCCCATAATTTCCAACCAGCCACCTGCTTACCAGGGAATGATGGGTGTCCAGCAGTCACAAAATCCTGCAATGCTTAATAATCAGAGGACAAGTGTTGGAAATCAAATGCAAAGCATGATGGTGCAGTACACTCCACTTCCTTCATATCAGGTGAGTGTACACAGATCTGTTGTAGGATCTTTTCCACTGTTAAAGCTGAACTCAAGGCAGATAATACATTTGACTTGATTTCAGCCTCTTGTAATCCTCTATACAACTGCATTTAGACTAGGAGGGGAAGATACAGTACTTCAGGCCAGAGTCCTGCTGTCGAAAACCTTCTGGCTTTCGGTGAAAAAGTAATTGCAGACTGTAATAACAATTGGTCTGTTCAGTTGACAGTTGCTGTATTTCTGTACAGATGGATTTCAGTCAGTCCTGAAGAGTAATTGGCTGCATGAAACTCTCATTATTCATTAAAAGAACTATGAAAAGTAGAAACTGATGGCTGTTACATTGAAGCGCTAGAATCAGCTGACTTTTTTTTTTTTTTTTTTTATGAAAGCTGTCATTTAAACTTTTTTCATTTTTGTTAAGTTGTTTCAACAGGAATTTACTGGAAATGTTTCCATAACAAAAACTAATGCATAGAGCAGTGCAGTTTTGTGACCCTTTCTTAACTCCTTAAAGCGGAGCTCCACCCAGGAGGGGTAGTTCCGCTTTAAAGACTGGTGCCCCGCTCTCCGTGAGGAATTGGCACCTTTAGGAAGCGGGTACCTGTCAAAATCAGTCACTTCCGCTCCTACTGCCTAGGTGATCAGAAGTTGTCGACCACCCCTCTGCTTTCCCAGTAACCCCCAGTGTCCCGTTCCAGCACCCCCACACTCCCCTTCCTTCCAAAAGACTACAGGACCATTCACAAGGCTCAGCGCTACTCACATGTGCGCAGTGGGGCAAGCTGCCACAGCCGTGTTTCCACACTTGAGATGCCAGCACCGGGCAGAGAGGATGGCCAGTGAACACACTGCTGGATCATAGGACAGGTAAGTGGCTGTTTTTTTTTTTAAAAGTCAGCAGCTACATCTTTTGTAGCTGTTAACTTTAGTTTTTTTTTTTTTCAAATTTTACTTTTGCTCTGCTTTAACCACTTGCCATCTGCCTCCTGTTTATAAATGGCAGGATGGTGGTACTCCAGGGGCAGGTTGCACCATGGAAACCACCCGCATTTTCTAGCGGTGTGCGCTCCCTGGGAGCGCGCAGCACCGCAATCCGGTGCCCGCTGTGTCCTCCGGACACAGTGGAACACCGATCATCGGACGGGACCTCTGTGTGAGGTCCCGATCATGTGATCACTCGTTGGCCAATCAGTGATCACATGTAGAGTAGTAAGCAAGATGTCACTTGTGACATCATTGCTTAATACGTGTGAAATCTGTGAATGATTACAGAGGTCACATGATATAAGGCTATTCACAACAGCTGTGTACCATGTGACAACCTGTGACCAATCACAGCTCACACAGTAGTTTCTCAATGGCTGCAAGAATGCAGGTAGAGAGTAGGAGAAATGATTGCTTTTACAGCCTTTATGGGTGTAAAAGCAATCCGTGTAAAAAAAAAAAAAAAATCTTCATCACCCCCCACAAGTAGTACAGTGTCACCATGGTGACACTGTACTGCTAGGGTGACAGTATGTAAAAAAAAAAAAAGTTTAAAAAATTATAATCTTTGGTTACAAACTAATTTGGTTATTTTTTTTTTTTTTTTTTTTACTAAAATGATAACAGAATACATTTTGGCCAAGATTTATGATGAAATATTATTTATTTGCAAAAGTTTATAAGAAAAACCCTTTTCAAAATTTTTGGACTTTTTTCATTTTCATAGCAATAAATACCACCAAAATAAAGCTTATCTGTCTCAAAAAAATTCATATGGGTACAGTGTTGCATGACCGCGCAATTGTCATTCAAAGCGTGATAGTGCTGAAAGCTGAAAATTGGCCTGGACAGGAAGTGTCTGGACTTGAAGTGGTTAATGTGTGGCTTTGGGTGTAGGTTACAATTCAGTCAATGTTCTGTGAGTGTGCTCTCGACATACACCTCGTGCTGCCTTAAACACATACACTATATTGCCAAAAGTATTGGGATGCCTGCCTTTACACGCACATGAACTTTAATGGCATCCCAGTCTTAGTCCGTAGCAGATTCAACTCTTCTGGGAAGGCTGTGCACAAGGTTTAGGAGTGTGTCTATGGGAATATTTGACCATTCTTCCAGAAGCGCATTTGTGAGGCCAGACACTGATGTCGGACAAGAAGGCCTGACTCGCAGTCTCCACTCTAATTCATCCCAAAGGTGGTCAGGATTCTGTGCAGGCCAGTCAAGTTCCTCCACCCCAAACTCACTCATCCATGTCTTTATGGACCTTGCTTTGTGCACTGGTGTGCAGTCATGTTGAAACAGGAAGGGGCCATCCCCAAACTGTTCTCACAAAGTTAGCAGCATGAAATTGTCCAAAGTGTCTTGGTATGCTGATGCCTTAAGAGATCCCTTCACTGGAACTAAGGGGCTAAGCCCGACCCCTGAAAAACAACCCTACACCATAATCCCCCCCCCTCCAAACTTTACACTTGGCACAATGCTGTCAGGCAAGTACCGTTCTCCTGCCAACCACCAAACCCAGACATGTCCATCGGTTTGCCAAACAGAGAAACGTGATTTGTCACTCCAGAGAACACATCTCCACTGCTCTAGAGTTCAGTGGCAGTGTGCTTTACACCACTGCATCCGATGCTGTGCATTGCACTTGGTGATGTAGAGCTTGGATGCAGCTGCTCGGCCATGGAAACCCATTCCATAAAGCTCTGTATGCACTGTTGTGCTAACCTGAAGGCCACATGAAATTTGGAGGTCTTTAGCCATTGACTCTGCAGACAATTGGCGACTTCTGTGCACTGTGCGCTTCAGAATGTGCTGACCCCGCTCTGTCATTTTACGTGGCCTACCACTTCGTGGCTGAGTTTTTGTTCCCAGTTGCTACCACTTTGTTCTAATACCACTAACAGTTGACCGTGGAATATTTAGGAGCAAGGAAAGGACTTATGGATGGATGGACTTGTTGCACAGGTGGTAACCTATCGCGGTACCACACTTGAATTCACTGAGCTCCTGAGAGCGACCCATTTTTTTCACAAATGTTTGTAGAAGCAGTCTGCAAGCCTAGGTGCTTGAGTTTATACACCTGTGGCCATGGAGGTGATTGGAACACCTGAATACAATGATTTGGAGGGGTGTCCTAATACTTTTGGCAATAGAGAGAGAGAGTGTGTGTGTGTAAGCTGAATGATCTCGTGATTCAAAATAGTGGCATACCAAACATCCTAATGCAAAGGTGCTCAATCCCACCGCAAAGGGTAACCGTGAACCCTGAGCTAACAGGAAGGTCATAACATGTGTTCCCACTTGGGGATCACAAAAGGATGAAGATTCTGCTGTCGCCTCGTGAACTTGCAATGTGTCCCTCAAGGATATGTAATCAGAGAAAGGGGAAACACATAGTGTAGTCTGCTACAAAATGTATTCATATCAAAGATAAAATTTCACTTATGAATAGTGGCACGTTAAAAAGTGCATGCGGAACGCTCAAAGTACAGTGGCACAAAGCCGCGGGTGACGTTAGAGGCACAGCCCCTCCTTCCATTCCTTTTTACGCCCTGGGCAGGGCTTTGTCAGTGGGAACCAATAATTGTGCTGCATTTTATATGCTGCTCGTTTCTGAATGAGGTATTGTGGATTGTGCCTTGAGTGTTCAGCTTGCAATACTGATTGTAATATTTGTATCTTGTTTGCACTGATTAGTCACAGATTTATATATATATATTTTTATATATATATATTCATTCACAGAGGTTAAATCCGAATTGGTTAAAGAGTATGCAAACCTCTGTGACCAGTCAGAAATCGGCTTTTAACAGTGCACTATATGTAAGCAACTAGTAGCATTTTTATAGTTAATGGTGTTTACAGTAGATTCTTGTACTTTACACCGTGGTAATAAATTAGTTTGTGTTTGCCTTTATGTAAGATGAGCTTTGCCCTTGAAACAGGTTCCAGTGGGAAACGAATCACAGGGAGTTGTGCCACAGACTTATCAGCAATCTGTACTTGTTCCCACCAATCAGTCTGTGCAAGGAACTATGCCAGCTGGAGGGATGCCAGTCTACTACAGTGTGTTATACCACCAGCACAGCAAAATGGTTCCAGGTATGTCACTCTTGGTCATTAATCAGGTCTTGTGTGGAAATAATTCCTTTAGTAATTGGCGTAATGCAGTATGCTGCTCTTAGTATATGCTCAAATTTAAGTTTAAAGTACAAGAGACTGTCATAATTGTGTATTTTTAGTTATCTACAATTCCTTATGATTCCAGCATCTTACGCTTCTCTGTGCCATTTACGTGAATTCAAAGTTCCTATGATCTTTTCTGATCATAAAGATACTCCTAACTCTAGAAGACTGTATAGCCCATGAATCTAACATGCATGTCATCAAAAATGTTTAAAGCACCCAAAGAGTAGTCATAACAAGTAAAGTAGTTATTATACAGGATTTATATAGCGCCGACAGTTTGCTCAGCACTTTACATTATGGTGGGAGACAGTACACGAGACAGTACAGTAACAATACAATTCAATATAAGAGAGATTCGAGGGCCCTGCTTCTTGGAGCTTACAATCTAGGAGGGGGGGATAGAGGTATACGAGGTAATGACTGTGGGGGATGGAGTAGTTGGAAGAGTAGAGGATTCCAGTATTAGCTGAGGGCAGGGTAGGCTTCCCTAAAGAGATAGGTTTTCAGAGTGTGCCTAAAAGTGAGCAGAGTAGGTGACAGTCTGATGGATTGGGGTAGGGTGTTCCAGAGGGGGGAATACTAGGAGCTCAGTTTTGGAAAGATTGAAGAAGTGGAGTGACATCCAATCCGATATATCACTTAGTAGGCTTGTGATAGGAGCTGGGACTGAAGGGGTGAGGTGAGGGGTAGAGAGATAGATTTGTGTGTCGTCAGCATTGAGATGGTAATTGAAGCCGTGAGAATTTATCAGTTGGCCAAGGCAGGAGGTGTAGATGGAGAAGAGAAGGGGTCCGAGGACAGAACCTTGAGGGACCCCAACAGAGAGAGGGAGTGAAGAGGAGGTGGCAGCGTTATAGGTAACACTGAAGAAGCGCTGTTAAACTGAGATTGGGGCTGCAGGATTCCATGGTAACTTCAAGTACTTTCTGTACTTGTGAATGTTTGATTTCTTTCAAAGGCCATATACAGACACCTAGACATTATTTATTTTTTTTTTTTTTTTTTTTATAAGTGAAAGCTAGATGAAGTACATTGTGAATTATAAGATTGTAGATAGGATCATATACATTGTTCTAAGAGTAAGATGATGTTGCCTTGTTGGTTCTACACCTTGCGTCAAGTTTTGCTCTTACTTGTGCATATTCTTTTGTGTGCTAAGAGCATTGTAATAATTGCACTTAGCACTTGCATCCTTGTTCTGCAGACTTGAGCTTTGTCCAGATATAAAATCCATTTAATTATTATTATACTACAAACTCTTGTACTGATGCTGACCTAATTTGCTTTCTTACAGCACTTCTGTGGGATATCTTCCTCCTGGCTCTGAACAGTACCAGATGCCTCAGTCTCCTTCCCCCTGTAGTCCTCAGCAAATGCAACAGCAGTATTCAGGTAAAAAAATAATAAAATGCCTTGAGAAAATGTAACATTAAGAGCAGTACATTGTTACTTTATTTAGAAGTTAAAGCAGTGTTCTGTACCCTAGAAGAAAAAAAAGTTAGCATTTAAACCTTGCAGTAATAGGGAGAGCCCCACAGCCATGGTAACTCTAGATTTTCCCCAGAGTTCAACTTTAACCCTTTTACTGCCACTTCCTTAACTACTACAGCGCAGCAATAATGGAATGTAGACAAGCATACAGTTGCAATTGCAGCTGATTCCCCCATCCACACACTCGATGCGGATGGAGGCAGTAATCCCTGCTGAGCTATTGTTTTCTGACAGTGGGGAAACTTCCCTGATCAGCATTGCAGGTTATAGTCTACGGCTCTGATCAAGTGGGGAAAATCTGACAGGACAGTTGTACTGAAGTCAATCAGTTGACTTCTGTACAACGTCCCTGCCCATACATGGATCAAAATTCAGCTGGTCCCTGCTGAACCAGCTGACTTTCAATCCATGTGTTGCCAGCTTTAGACTCTTAATGGATCTTCTGCACTCCATTCAAGTAAGTTGAATAGAAACTTATCGATCTGTACTTTTCTTGCCAGAATAGTCAGAATCTGACAGCTCGGAACATAGCTCTGAGCTATTTTGAGTGCTTCTGAGTTGATTACAGGTAGACTGAAACATGACTTTCTGAATTCCCCACTCTCTCCATCCTAATACTGACCATGGATGTCCTGGGTTTCCTGAGGGTACAGGTGAGCCTGGCACACATTCTATATCATATTACTTCTGTTTTGAAAACCTGAAGCTGATTGTAATATTAATACTTATTTGCTGCAACTAGTGTGCCATAATATGGTGGCGGTAAAAGGGTTAAAAAGCTAAATGCACACACACATTCCACCTTGCGTCTTGAAAAAAATGCTAGTTTGAGAATTCCAGTAAACTACTGTGTGACTGGTGAGAGGTAGCAATCAGCTGTCATGAAGTCTCTCAAAACATTTGACTCATCTTATGTACCGATACCTAAAAATAAGCAATGAATATGCGAAATGAATGTTTCGTAGCCATCCATCTGTTTTATAGACAGGAATATTCACTAAAGGAACATGCATACTAGGACATTTGCTGCTCTATCTGGAACATCTATTTGCATGTCTATTCTATATAAATATGTTTAAATATAGGTAGAGCCGAATGTACTTTTCTTAGCAATTTCCCACACATTTACTTTTATGACTTATTCTAATCCCTTCTGTGGTATCATTACAGGTGTCAACCCTTCAAGCCTGGGTGTGGTGGTAATGCAGCTGAATGTACCCAATGGCCCACAGACAACATCACAGAACCCACCAGTAGTCCAATGGAACCATTGCAAATATTTTAGTGTTGACCAAAGGGGTCAGAAACCTGAGCATCTGTATGCTGCAGATGCCAACACTCAGGTATGAAGAAAAGCACATGGCTGTTTATTGTGAAGAGGTAGATTCCATCTATTGTCTTCATAGTGTGTTTCCTTTAAGTTGCCTTGCTGCTACTTAACACTCTGTTGCTTTTGCTTCAATTCTTATACAAACATAGAAAAATGACTGCAGAAAAAACAGAGTGGTCCATCGAGTCTGCCGGGTTTTTTTTTTTTTTGTTTGTTTTGTTTTTTTCCAATACCTTTTGTATAGTTTAGCTCTATGTTTTTCCCAAGCATGTTTGACGCCATTTACTGTTGACTGGCTCACTACCTCTGCTGCATCAACAGCCACCTTCCACCATCACTACCTTCCAAGCATCAACTACTCTTTCGGTAAAATAATACTTTCTAAGATTAGTTGTGAACTTTCCTCCAGTTAGTTTGAGGTCATGTTCCCGTGTTCTTGATTTTGCTTTTATATTGAAAATACTGCCCTCCTGAACCTTTTTCAACCCCTTGATGTAGTTAAAGGTTTCAGTCATGTCTCCCCTTTCCTCCAGACTGTACATATTAAGTTCCTGAAGTCACTCTTGATATGTTTTATCCCCCGGACCTCTCACCATTTTTGCTACTCATCTCTGGACTCGTCCTATTTCATCAATATTTTTTGTAAGTGAGATCTCCAGAACTGAACACAGTATTCAGAATGAGGTCTCACTAAAGATCTTGATAGGAGAATCAGGACCCCCTTCCTCCTGCTGGCCACAGTGGCCACATTGGCCATATTAATAATTTTGATTAATTTTATTAAATTCTGTCCAGTAGTTGCTTAGCACAAAATGTGTTAAGATACCTATATCCATTTTTAGATCCATTTACAATGGTGCCTGCCTGCAGGGGTGCTGATAATGACTCTATTGCAGTCATGCTGTAGTGCTAATTTGGTTAGCAGCTTGGTAATCTAGTGGTATATTTTTGGATTATGAGAAAAGGAAACCCCACACAAACTTATTAACCTTGGTCTGGGAATTTAAAGGGTAACTCCACTTTCATTAGAAAAAAAATAGCAAATAAAAAATATATAGCATATACAATTGCTACACAAATTATATTGTAATTAATTGTTATTAAAAAATGACCTTTCCTTTTCAATCTGCATCACTGTAATTGACTGTAAAATGCAATATGGCTGCCTGGAGGTGTTCTGTACACAGATGGTGTACAGAATGCCTCCCAGATAAGTAATTTCCTGCTTGTGTGATTGGCTCACTGATTTTCCCAGAAGACTGCACTAAGATACAAGTCAGAGTTTTGGCATCCACTGCAACGAAAATCTATTTTTTGGTGAGATACTTCCAAAGGAAATCACATCTAAAGACCCCCGTAGGCACATCAGCTGATTAATAATCATGAAGTCACTCCCATACAGATTATGGTGCTGAGTGCTGTTGGAGATGATGTTTTTGCCTATGAAGTAGGGCAGATTTTTCTAACACTTTCTCTTTACTATACTTCAGTTTAAAGTATGTATTAAACCCAAAAGCAAACGTATTGTATTGCATCTTACCAATTCATAGATGTGGTGACTGCAAATGTAGCAGATAAGAGTGTTAAGACAAACCTATTACCACTGACAGGGGTGCTTACATTGGACAGTTTTTTTTTTTCTTTTTTTACAATTTTCAAAAGGTACAGATGAGAATGCAAGCAGTAAATCAAGAAATGATCACAAACAGAGCAGAGATAGACAAGACACAACCTGCCTGTGTTATTGTATAAATGGAAACAAAAGAAGACCAATAACCCAGCCCTCTGTAATAGGGGCCACTCAGAAAAAGTTAGAAGACTGGGGGAAAAACAGAGGGGGAAAGGAAAAAAAAATGATCAGCTTTTGTTTATTCATGTAAAACCTTTATCCCAAAAGAAGAAGAAATATATGCTGTAGCAGCCTTTGGAACTGCAGTGTGAGCTGGAATTTGGCTTCAGTTTGTTACTGTATCAAAATCTGCTAGTACATCTAACACTCCCCTCCCCTCAGACTGACAATGTTGCTGTACTGAGATTCCCATGTGCTCTAGAGTGGGGGCACTGTAACACACTACCCTGTTTCCCCGAAAATAAGACAGTGTCTTATATTAATTTTTGCTCCCAAAGATGCGCTAGGTCTTATTTTCAGGGGATGTCTTATTTTTCCATGAAGAAGAATACGGTACACATTTATTGTTAAATGAAAATAAAGGAAATTACCATTTTAGTAACCCCTTTTGTTCCTCCTGTGTCATTTTGATTGTCCCCTCTGATTCTCCTGTGTCATTTTGATCTGATCCTCCTGTGTCATTTTGATTGTCCCCTCTGATCCTCCTGTGTCATTTTAAATGATAACCCTCCCCCCACCCCTGTGCCACTGAACACCTTCACCAGACATCCCCCCCACCCTTTTATCAGACATTTCCCCCTGGGGACTGTCACTGGGCTGGCTGGGGCCTGGACCTGGGCTGGAGCAGGGTCTGCCACTGACTGAGAACCTTCAGTCATCATGAGGGCGGTGTCACCAGAGACAGATCAGCACTCACCACCTTTGCCGCGTCCCGTCCGCTCTGATCCTCCTGTTCTTCTACACGCATCTCTCTCCCGCTCATTCCGACCTCTGCTCCACCTCCACACAGCAGTGACGTCACTGGTTGCTAGACGCCAGTCGGGGCGGCCCTAACAACCAGTTTACGGTAAATTAATTTTCATTACGAGACAGGGCCTAGGGGGGCCTTATTTTCGGGGGGATGCCTTATATTTCACCCAGAAGGAAACCTGTAAGTAGGTCTTATTTTCAGAAGATGTCTTATTTTCGGGGAAACACGGTAGGTGTTTTACTGGCCAGGTGAAAATAGAGGGTAAACATCCTAAAAAAAGATAACTAATGCAGCCACCACATCTAACAATTGGTAAGCTACAATATGTTCTATATTTTTGTTTTTTTGTTTAATACTGCTTTAACCACTTGCCCTCCAGAGGATTTACCCCCCCCTTTGTGACCAGGCCACTTTTTACATTATGGCGCTGTTACTTTAACTGACAATTGCTCTGTCATTCAATGCTGCACCCAAATGAAATTTAAGTCCTTTTTTTCCCCACAAATTGAGCTTTGTTTCAGTGGTATTTGATTGCCTGTGGTGTTTTTATCTTTTGTGCTATTAAAAAAAATTAAAAAAGGTCAACAATCTTGAGAAAAAAAAAAAACAATATTTTTTACTTTTCTATTAACCATGTCCAGTCAAAAAAATTATAAAATCTAATTTCGTCATAAATTTAGGCCAAAATGTATTCTGTTACATATCTTTGCTAAAAAAAATAATAAAAAAAAAAATCCCATCACGTGTCAACTAAATGGTTTGCATTAAAGTTTTAGCATTTACAAATGGCAGTATAGGTACTGGAAGTTTTTTTGTACTAGTAATGGCGGCGATCAGCGACTTATTGCAGGACTGCGGCAGGCATTCTGACACTGGGGGGAACTGACACCATTTGTTTACATACAGTGCTCCTCCCCGTCGGAGATCCTTGGCAATCACCGGGCGCATGCAAGTAATCACTGGTCGGGACCCGGTGATTGACAGCCGTGGCTGCCAATGGCTGCGCGAGTAGGGCGCGCACGCACCCCCTACGCGGACATGCAAAATCACATGCGTGTGAGTGTGTGTGTGTGTGTGTGTGTGTGTGTGTGATTTTGCGCACTTGTGCTGCCCTGTAGCAGTATATCTGCTATAGGGCGGTCGGGAAGCGGTTAAGCTGCCATTCAGTCATGAGTGTTTTGCCATCAGTAATTTCAGGTCTCTGAATACCTCAAGACTTTTCGTAATTGCAATAACCAGTATTAAACATAGAAACACAGCAATATACTTATTTATTTTTATCTTTTGTATCAGGCCAGTAATCTTATGAACAGCCCTATTACATCCCCAGCACAGTCACCAACGCCTTCTCCGGGCTCGAACATGAACAGCGTCTGCACTGGACTTTCACCACTATCTGTCATTCCTCAGTTTCCCCCGACCTGTTGGCCCTGCACAAGGTATATTTAAAAATTGACAACTGTACTGTGTCCAACATATATGTAAAAAAAAAATGCTGTGTGTTGTATGAATATTGTATTTTTTTAATATTTATTTATTTTATTTTTTTTTAGGAGATGCTCGGTATTCTTTGCTTGGACAGCCACTTCAGTACAACCTTTCCGTTTGTCCCCCGATACTGCACAGCCAGCCCCCCTATTCTGCACAACTGGTACAGTTTGATTATCATGGGAAATGTAGCTTAAGCGTGCATTCGTGCTCACATATCCATTCAACACCCCCACCCCACAGATCTTTTTTTTTTTAATTCGCACCTGCACGTAGTATTATTTAATACCCTTTTTCATTCTGAACACATCCACATGTGGTGAGATCTTACAGAGGCTGCCAAACTTTCTTTCATCATATGTCCGGAAAAAAATTCACTACCTCGTGTTTTGTTCTCAGCAGCTAAGACATCCCAAAACTATTTCACTTTTCGGTACATGGGAGGAAGGAGGATCACTGGAAGTGTTGACTTTTGGATTATTCTGCCACCTACAGCAGAATTGGACTTGGGCAAATCAATTGTTAGGCCAGCCCAGGATAATTACTTCTACTACCAACATGCCACTGTTTGTTTTTTTTAATGGATGTCTTTTCTCTGCATTTGAGAAAAGTCTGATTTTTTTTTTTTTTTTTTTTTTTTTTTTTTTTTTTTTTGCTAGTTACATTGCTGCTGAGCTGGTCTCTATATGCAGCTATCCAGGTTGGCCTGTCCTAAGCCTTACTTTGGAGTGCCATACCCAGACCCAGTTGGACTGGATGATTGTAGAGCTAGCTGAAATGTGACTTGTGAGCATTGGACTGTGTATCATGGTGCTTTCCATATCTGTGTGTACTCTGACAGTTGTGTAACCCTGCCTTTGAAGACTAACTGGGGAGACCACTGGATGCATTTAAACGCACCCCCCCCCCCCTTTCCCACTGGTTTGGCCGTGGAAGGGATTGACTGCTGATTTCATACAGTGGGTAGAATGTTTTGTGAGAACTTCATTTTTTCCTGATATTCGGCATTTAAAAAAATGTATCTTACTGCTGCTTTTGACAGCGGGTGACACATATAACTCATTTGTTTCTGCTGCCTGCCTACAGTTGTCAGTTTCAGCTGCCTGACCCTATTTGTGCTATCCAAAAGCCAGGTTTTTCAGTACTTGGGTCTAACTTTGTACCCAATCAAGGTTGCATTCAGCCCTGCACCACAACATGCCTACTTCTAGACACATGGAAGACAGTTCCACTGTACCAGGTCCCTCCAGCTCACACTTCACTAACTGTTCCAGTGCTGCCAGCGATGTTCCCTTTGACACTGATGGCCTAGAAGTTTGCCCTCTGCTAGAATCTGTGCCATGCTCGAAAATCATCCTTAGCTTTGTCAGTTGGTCCTATCCTTGGAATATTTTAGTGCAGTTAGGCAGTATTGTTATGGCTCAAATAGAGCATTTGATTGCTGATTCTAACCACAGAGGCCGTAAGCTTACTTCCACAACTTTCCCTGCAGGACCACTATCTGACCTGCCAGCAGCCTTAGCATCCTCTGAACCTTCTGCCACCAAGACTCTGACATTGAGTCCTTAAGGTGTTACTAAACCCAGGTCCCTGCATTCACTATTTCTGGTCTCCCACAGTACACAGAACATGGAAGTGCAGTTATTTTAGTAAATATAAACTCCTAAATACCTTTTCTCATCAGCAGTTAGAGCACTCTTGTGACTTTTGTCAGTGTCCAGCTGAGCACTGGGTTAAAGCTTGTGGGAGGAGTTTTCATTTTGCTCTCGGAGAATGCAGAACCCCTGACCTCTGTCTGGACAGTGCTGGTTGGCTCTGTGATGATCACATGCACCCTCCCAAGAAAGAAAAAAAAAAAAAACCTCTATAGCAATACAACCCAAACTCAGAATGTGTGGGGTGACTCCACACGATAGGTTTCATCAGGAGATAAGACACTGGAACACTGGGGACACTGGAAGAAAGGGAGGCTCAAAGAAGTCAGGATCAAACAGTTTTTACACAGTGCAGAGGATTAACCCTTAGGTTCCACAGTGAGTATAACAAGCATGCTTTCCTGCATATACAGAGTTTACTGTTGTGGGTTTAGTAACACTTTAAAGGAAGATCTCACACTGGAGTAATTGCTACCTTCTTCCATTACTCCACAACATGAGAGAACTTTTTGACTCTTAATTTTCTGCTATGTGCCTCCTTAAAACCTGAGGATCAGCTCATAGCTTCTACCAGTGCTGTCTGGAGTTAGGCTCCTTTAGGGCACCTAAGACTGCCAAATCCATTCTGGTGAACCTTCTGTTCTCAGTCTTACTTCATGGAGACTGGAAGAATCCTGAAAAGCTGTTTATCCCTCCCAAGCAGCTATAAACCTTGTACTCATTTGAAGAGTTCATTAGTAAAAAGTGGTCTGCCAAGTCTGTGGATCCAACAGTATCCTACCTTCAGAAAGTGTTGACGTTCTCAGTGGAGGATGCACTTCTTTTTAAGAATTCCATCAACAAGCAACTGGAGACCATTCCTAGAACCCTGTTCTTTCTATGTGTGGAAGAGGAAGTGGTTTCCAGTGGCTGCAAACTAGAATTTCACTCCCAACACCTTTCCCTGTGTTTTGTTATTCAGGCATACCTGCATTATCACACAGATTAGCAGATCTCCATGCAGACTTAACAGGCCTTTAGGAACTGAGGGTGTAATGACACCCTGTTCCAGAAGACTGAATGTTTTCAGGTTTCTACTCCGATTTGTTCAGTTCCCAAACCAAAATGCGCATTTGCCCGATCTTAGATTTCAAAGCCCTTAAATTTAATTTGTGTCCTTAATTTCTGCATTTAATCCATCAGGTCTCTTAGTTTCTTTTCATCAAGGAGACTTCTGGCCTCTGTGGACATTGAGGACACATGCTTTCATGTCCACATTTTACAGCACATCAGTGCTTCCTTTGCTTTGCTCTGGATGGTCTGCGCTTCCACTTTGTTGCTACGCTCCTAAGGAATTGCAATTGTGGAAAATCTCAATGACCTTCTGCTTAAGAAACAGTTGAAGTGGGTTAAGGCAGACAATGTATCTGTGACGGAGGGTAGGCAGGACAGAACACACAAGGCAGATGGCAAACACACAAAGCTTTATTGAGACAAAATGACAGTCATTCAATGGGGGGGTTGCAGGGAGGGTGACCTTGCCAATAGGGGAATAGCCAGGAGAGGGCCAAAACACTTGTAGCCCAGCCCCAAGGGCAAAGTTAAAGTCTCTGCAGCAGTTTGTAATCTAACAGTGGGGTAGAGGAGCAGTTCAAGAACAGTTCAGGCAAAACAGGGGAAGCATACACTCACGGATCCGCCAGGGTGCCCGGTCTCCCAGGGAACAAGATCTTGACACAGATTATGACAAGATTATGACACAGGTACCTGCTGGAGTCCAGAGTACACGTGCGGTCTCCCCCTTAGCTGGGGTCTCAGGCATGGCTGGCGTGCTGTCTACCCCTTGCCTGGGGTCTCAGGCATGGCTGGCGTGCGGTCTCCCCCTTAGCTGGGGTCTCAGGCATGGCTGACGTGCGGTCTCCCCCTTGCCTGGGGTCTCAGGCAGGGTTGGTGTGCGGTCTCCCCCTTGCCTGGGGTCTCAGGCAGGGTTGGTGTGCGGTCTCCCCCTTGCCTGGGGTCTCAGGCAGGGTTGGTGTGTGGTCTCCCCCTTGCCTGGGGTCTCAGGCAGGGTTGGTGTGTGGTCCCCCTTGCCTGGGGTCTCAGGCAGGGGGTGTGTGTGTGTGGTCTCCCCCTTGCCTGGGGTCTCAGGCAGGGGTTGGTGTGTGGTCTCCCCCTTGGCTGGGGTCTCAGGCAGGGTTGGTGTGTGGTCTCCCCCTTGGCTGGGGTCTCAGGCAGGGTTGGTGTGTGGTCTCCCTCTTGGCTGGGGTCTCAGGCAGGGCTGGCATGCAGTCTTCCCCCTTAGCTGGGGTCTCAGGCAGGGTTGGTGTGTGGTCTCCCCCTCGGCTGGGGTCTCAGGCATGGCTAGCGTGTGGTCTTCTTCCTTGGCTGGGGTCTCAGGCATGGCTAGCATGTGGTCTCCCCCTCGGCTGGGGTCTCAGGCATGGCTAGCGTGTGGTCTTCCCCTTGGCTTTGGTCTCAGGCATGGCTAGCGTGTGGTCTTCCCCTCGGCTGGGGTCTCAGGCATGGCTAGCGTGTGGTCTTCCCCTCGGCTGGCATCTTAGGCAGGGCTAGCGTGTGGTCTCCCCCTTGGCTGGGGTCTCAGGCAGGGCTAGTCTTCTGGGGCCCCCCAGTATCCTTGGGGTCTTGGCAGAGTTTAGCCACGAGGGTCCCGCCGCAGCTGGGAACCCCCTTTGATGGCTGCGCAGCAGAAAGGATCCTCGGGAGGAGCCCAGCACCGGTCTCTTAAACCGGTGCGGGACGCTTCCCGGTCGTCCTGGTAACCAGGGGCGGGTGGTGGGCGGCGTGCCTCGTCGCTTGGAAACGAGGCACGCTCCCCTGGACACGGGTCGTGCTCTTGTGAGCGCGACCTTTGTCCAGTGGCATCCGCAAGCGCGGGAACTCTCCGTGCCCGCGCTGTGGATGTCAGGACCAGGTGGCGTCAGTCTGACGCCACGGCCCGTAACATCCCCGCAGGAGGTTCGCACCTCTCCGTGGAGTCGTTTGAACCTCGCAATCTTTTCCTCTCCTTCCTCGCCAGAGAAGAAGATAGTGGCAGGGGTGACAAAAGCCGCACCTCTTGTCCTGCGCGGCAGAACAAGAGGTTGAGGGGGGCCACTTAGAAGTGTGATAGGGGAGGAAAGGCCTTAATTGAATTTGGGGAACATAAAGCAGGATGACAGTGGAGGAAATACTTTAATGGAATTTGGGAATATTTGGCAGGATGACAGGGGAGGAAATGCATTGATTGAAGTTGGGAACATTTAACACAAGAAAGTAAGGAATTAAGGATGTACTGCATTTGGCACAAGGAATTAAATATGGGATTAAGGAAGAAATTAATAATTGGGGCTGGCAGAGCACCTATATTGTGACAGGAGCCTTGACTTTCCAGGCCTTGCAGCGGTGCAGCTGGATCCTGAACCCACAGAAATCCGTTCAGGATCTAACTCGCCACTTAGAATTTCTGGCTCTCATCTTAGACTCTGGTCAAGCCAGAGTTCTTCTTTCCCAGGAGAATCTTCAAACTTAGCTCCCAGATTGTGATTATTCAGCCCAGTAGTCTTACTATTCGTTTCTGCAGAAGAGTCCTGAAGCTGGTGATAGCCTCTTTGAACATAGTCCCATTTCACTTCAGTCCATTCTGTTGTCTTTGGACAAGTCAGTCCAATCTTTGTACTGACCGATTTCATCTGGCACTGAAGAACTGGTTGTCTGTGACTTGGTGGCTCAGAAATTCTGTTATGGATTTTGGAAAGCCCTTTCTTATGGTTGTCTTACAGTTATCTTTGCAAGATCCTCAAGACAGATGCCAGCCTTTCAGGCTGGAGAGCCCTGAGCACTTGGATGTCAGAGGAAGCTTGTTTACTGATCAGCATCTTGAAGCTTTTGGATGATCTAATGATGCCTAGACCCAAGAGAGTTTCAGAACCTGTTTCACTGGTGGGGGGATGTTTGTTGCTGAATCTGGAGGAGAGGAGGTCCACTTCAAACTGGACAGCATCGCTCCAAACTGAAGTCCCGCTTCTGCTGCAGACACTCGAGTGCTGGCACAGGAGCCTGTCAGTGCTCACAATCCAGAAATGCCAGTATACATAAGCCGTACACTGATGTCAACTTATCAATGTGCTTTTATTCATTCCCAAATGGCATAACAGCATACAAAGCCCCCCAGCCAAGGGACCACCCCTCAACACGTTTTGTAGTCATCCCTAAGCCAATTGTGAAACTTGTCAAGAAGGTACAGTCCCTGCACAGGGAAGCTTTGTACGCTGTTATGCCATTTGTGGTTGAATAAAGGCACATGTTGAAGTCGATATTGGTGTGCAATTTGTGTATATTCACAAACTGGACAGGTTTATTCTGTAGGTCCAGGGATCCGCTAACAAAAATTGGGATGTCTGCTCTGGTGGATCTGTGACATCAGTACTCCCTGGTCTACATATTTTCTCCCCTGAAACTCCTTGTCTGTTTTACAGGATATGAAGATTACCAGAAAGCCCCTCATCTCTAGTTTTAGGGCTGGCCCAGGTGGATGTAGTATTCCGATCTGAAAAGACTTTGGGCAGATGTTCTGTGGGCTCTACCAGATTGTATAGATATTCTGGCACAATGACAGATTTACTATTCTGATTCATAATCACTGGCTTTAAGGGCGTAGCTTTTGAAGCCTAGGTTCTAAAACTCGGGACACAATGCTAAAAGCTAGTAAGCAGACTTCTTGAAAAGTCTATCACTGTACACGGAAGGCATACTTTGCTTGGTGTGTGGATAGGGGAATTTACTCCAGAAAGATCCAGGGCACCATGCAGGGCAATAATGCAAAATTAACTTTGTTTAGTATAATGCATTGTATGTCATGTTTTCTATATGTATCTCTTTGGAGCTGATATTTAGTGCCATGTTAGGTTTTTTTTTGCATTCTGTGGATGTAAGGGTAATAAAAAAATGTATGTCTCATTGCCAACTTTTTTTTTTTTCTAACTTATGCTGCAAAATGGACAGACAGGAATGAAACATGGGAACCGAGGAAAGAGGCAAGCACTAAAATCAGCATCTACAGACCTTGGTTCAGCAGATATAGGCAAGTAAAACAGACTTGGCTTTTTGTCCTATTTCTTGATTGTCTTAGTATCTAAGACTCAGATCTTATTAGAGTAGCTCAAACAAGAGCAGTATTGCCCCACAATGACTCTTAGGCTTCTTTCACACAGGTGGCCAGGGGGCAGTAAAAACAGACTGCTCATCTGCATTTATACAACTGTAACACCCCCCCCCCCCCTTCCACACCCCCCTCCCCAGATCACCCACCTACAAGTACACATGGTGCCACTTGGAGCAGTACATATTGCTGTGGCCACAATGCTTTGTGTTGTTATGCAGCAATTTTAACTCTACATGTGAAATGGTTTGAAAATGCCTGTTTATTACTCTGAAAGCAACACATTTAGCAAATCTAGATGCTTTAGTCATGATATGCACAGTGCATACAGCAACCATAATGTATGTTTTCTATACACAAAAGTGCAACCAAAATGTTTTGTTGCTGTGATTTACACACTTTGCACATTGTCTCTAAACTTTGCACTGTTCTGTTGAAGCTCTTTGTTCTAGGTTAAATGGTTCCACATTCTTATCTAAATAGGTCTGCACAGTTCTTCCTGTGTGCAATTCAAACATCAGTTCATAAGTGAATTACATTTTTCTTCTTAATTTGCTTTGTGTGACATGCTAATGTTATTTCTGCTTTTGTTCTGGTTTTTTTTTTTTTTTTTTTTTGCAGTCCTGGGCCGTGTTCTGGAGATTACAGACCTACCAGAAGGCATCACTCGAGCAGAAGCAGGAAAACTTTTCACACAGCTGGCAATGTCTGGGGCCAAAATACAGTGGTTGAGGGACGCTCAGGGTCATGCCCCAGGGCCTAGTGGCAACAATAATGGACCTGCAGAAAATGGCCGCCAAATTCACAACAATGATCTGGCAGCCTTTTTATACCATCGTGGCAGTCTTCCCCAGCACCATGGCAGCACAGAACGCCTCAGTGCAGCAAAACAGTCCACTCAGCCGCTTCAAGTTGCGCAGCATCAAAAAGAACTATGATTTGCGCATACTGGAACGTGCCAGCTCGCAATAGCATGTGAAGATAGGTGGGAGAAGGTGTGAGGGAGGGGACAGGAGGAGGAATACATCGCTCCCTCTCTAGTCACCTTGCCTCTTTCTCTCTCCTATTCCCACCACCAGTTGAAGAAGCACACTGGACTTATAAATACAGCCTCTACCTTTCTAGCCTCTCTTTCTCCCTGCACCTTTTATTGTTTTCAGTAGCTTTCTTCAGCCATTTTACTTCATGTTTGTCCATCTTTTTAATTTGTTTTATCGTTCACCTCTGGTTCGCTGTCAAATGCTCACCCTTTTGTTTTTTTGCTTACTTTCTTTATATCACCCATTTGTTTCTTAAAGTTGCACTCTCCTTTTTTTATGTTGTCTGGCTTTTCTTTCAAATATCTCCCAACTCACAGTTGTGTGCGCCGCCACCATATCATTGATAACCTTTTGTTTCTTGCACATCCTGCAGACACAGCAGGTTCTTCTACTTTACGTCAAATTTTATATATTGGTTTTTCTCCTCAAATTCTTCTCTGCGGTACTTTTTATAAAGACATTACCCAATTTCTGATCGAGAGCAGAGACGCTCTGTAGCGGGTATGAAGCTGCCATAGGGCAAAAGGGTAAAGGAATGGACAGAATTTTCTTTTCTTCACCTTGAGTGGAATTTTGAACATTTTGCCTTTTTTATTTTCTATTTTTTTCTTTTCTCAGAGTTGGTTGTCCCTGAACATTGTATAGATTTTTTTTTTGTTCTTTTTGATGCTTGTGAGAGTACATTAACATGGGTATTTATTTGCACAAATGGGCTGTACTCACTGTAAATTTTATTTAATCCAATTTTGTTTTTAAATATGGAAAAAAGAAGTATGTGTCACATTAACAAAGTGTGTCTTTTTCTTTATAGTTTTGGTAAAACAAGATTTATATTGTGTTATTTATTCTGGTGTCATTCTGTTATTAACACCAATCGTTCATTACCATTGCTGTCCAACTATGCAGCTCCCAACCCCCCCAATCTGCAGAATTATGGTGGTAAGCAAGCATATGGATAAATACACAGATAAAGTGCATATATGGGAGCCATTTTATCTGCCAAAATTTTGTATTTCTGTATATCCAGTACGGAGATTTACCCAGTTCTATCTGACAGAAGAGGAGACCTGATCTTTCACTGGTGCAGTTAAGTAAGATTTACATATCTTTCAGATACTTCACCCAGCTTTTAACTGAACAGGGAAAAGAAAAGCAACACACAGATGAGCTAACCTTTCTGTTCTGTTTTCTCCTTCTTTCCACATGTATTTTATTTGCAAATGAGCACTACAGTACAGCTAATTTGTTTATTGTGCTGCTTCTCAGTCTCCCAGGATACAGGTTTGTCTCCACTGGTGGAAGCAATTGATGCTTTGTAACTTTGTGGGAACGATACACACGGATCGTTCTTCACCTGCTGTGCAGGATCAAGATGGAGGGCATTAGGTGATCCTCATTGCTCCAGATTGGCCCAGAAGGATGTGGTACACTGACCTGGTAAGAATTCTAGCCAGTACTGTAAGCTCTGCCAGACAGCCCAGGTCAACTGTCTCAAGAATAGATTTGCAATCCTGCTTTACAGTCACTGGCTATGGCATGGCTCTTGGCAGTCAGGTTCTAAGGGACAAGGGTATCTGTGAGTCTGATTCCCTACTGTGCTCAATGCCACAATGTCAAGGTATATCTTCTTCAATGTGATTCTAGAGGCTTTGACCCTAGGAGGTTCTCTGTTGGATTAATCCCCCTCCTATCTGCAGTTGGGTCTGGATCATCAAAGATCAGGCCTGTGCTGTTTCTATTCTGTTTAGGACATCGTAGGCCTTTCACTCTGATTAAACTTCCTGTGCAGGGGTTTCATATGTGCTTCTTTTGGTCCATTTTCCTGTGACTCCGTGGCATATGAATCTGTGCTTCAGAAGCCAACATTTCTCTCTCTCCGTTCACCCATGAGGTGGTTTTCTTTGTAGCAATCACCTCTGCAAAGCAAGTGTCATGGCTAGTGGCCTTATCCTTTGCAGAACCTTTTTTGTCTTGCATAGAGACAAGGTGATGTTGAGGCCCAGCGCTTCCTTTTTGGTTAAATGTAGTCGCTGCCTTTCACCTAAACCAGAACACTGTTCTTTTGTCCCTTTATCCAGCTTGGGTACATCAAAGAAACGTTAATGTTTGCATGTGGTTTGGACTACCCCTTAGCCACTGACTCTTTCAGGATGGATTTCCTTTTTTACATTTGGGATGGCCCCTACCTTCTCTAGGTAGCTCAATCTGTTCAAGCTTATGGTCTCAAGGATTGAGTCCTCCCTTCTTCTATTGAGGCTCATTTTACTAGATATATGACCCTTTTTGTAGTTTTCAGCATCAAGCAACTGTTTCCCAGATTGAAAGCTTGTCACCTAGTCTTTTGTTTACACGTGTTATAAATTCTACCAAGTGCATGTTTCTTCCTCATTTTTTTTAAGCGGCTTTGTGTTGCAGTCAGGGGCCTGCTTTCTGCTGTTACTTTGGGACTGTTTGCTGTGCTATCCCCACCCCTCAGTTGGACTTCTTTTGTATGTCCCAAAAGTTAATTTCCTGTGTCCCTCGATGTGAGAAAGACAATAGGATTTTTGTACTCTCCATAAACCCTGTTTCTACGAGTCCCTTGATGGACATACTGTAGGCGTTTGTGATCATCCTCTCAGTACTGCTTTACTAAAAATAGAAAATTATTGTAATGTTGGTGCTGAGAGGAGTATACTCTGGGCCAGCCTACAGATTGTGTTTTGACCAACCTTGTGAATTGTAGTAAAGATTTCCTGTGACCCTCAGTGGACTCCAAGAAGAAAACAAAAAGCTTTTAACTAAACAGCAAACATAGACATAAAAAAAAAATAATTGCAGGCACAAATATATACCCATAACAAGTAGTCTATATATGGATAATCATATAAAGTCCATATTAGATGATATGTAAGGAAAACCAGTAGTCAAGCACAAGGGTAGCTCTTCTTACGAGCAGAAGCGGTCTCTGTATAAACACAAAATAGCAAAGAAAAAGATGCACCTCTAATTCTTTAATAGAGCTAAAAAGTGCCAAATAGCTACTCACAAAATCAACGAAATGACAGGCTCATCGTGTAACAGGAAGTCTGGGACTAAATGTAGAAGAAGCCACTCAGGGACTGTTAGTCTGCTGCCATGCCGTGGATGGTATAAGGAAGTCGGTCAGTCACTTCGCAAGATGGCGCTGGAGCGCATGAGTGGACTGCTGCGCAAGCTGGACAACGCCACCAAAGTCCAGTGTTACGATGCATTTCTGGGCATGTGCACCCTTTCATCAGGCTGACAGTATAGGTTCCATTTATAGCAAAGGGCCCTAATGGAGCTACAAGGCTCAGCAAAGAGTAATTTTTATAATTGTTATATAAGCTATCAATGATTAAAAAAAAGCATTCAGACTGCATTATAAAACAAGCTAAAGGATAGTAAAATACGATAGATGGAACATCACGTATTACATTAGATTATTAAATCATAATAATAAAAACATGATTTAACCATTAGCCGCCCGGCCAATGGCCGTTTGGCGGCTTCAAAAGTGTTTCGGCATTCCGGGTGCACGCCATTTGGCTTGCTCCCGCACATGCACAGTTTGCGCTAATGCAGAGCCGCGCAGTGGCGCGATCTGTCACCAGCTGTGTACCTCGGACACGGCCGATGACAGATCTGAGTACCGACCCCCGTTGCTGGTACCATGTGACCTGCTGTGACCAATCACAGCAGGTCACATGACAGTTGTATACAATGGATGGCTTCATTCATGCCATCCATTGTATACTAGTGCCTAGCTGTGAATGGTCACAGCTAATCACATGCACATGTCATGTGATTAGCTGTGACTAAATCACAGCTAAGCACAAAAAAAAAAAAAAACTTGAATGAATCAATTTCATTCAGGTAAATGCTTGCTTATAGCAAAGTAATTCTTTGCTATAAGCAAATTTGTGTAAAAAAAAAATACTGATCACTTCCCCAAAGTAGTACAATGTTACTATGGTAACATTGTACTATTTTGGTCATAGTAAAATATGAAAAAAAAATCTTAAAAAAAATTTAATAAAAAATTAAAAATAAAAAAAAAAAAAAATATATATATTTTTTTTTTCATTTTGTCACCAGTCAGTGTCCCTGTTCACCGCCATGCCAGTTATATGACGCCGCTGTACTGCACTGGTGACAGTATGTAAAAAAAAAATAGTGAAAATACTTTTTTTTACTTTTTCATTTTCCGAAAAATTATGACAAAAAAAATACAACTTCAAAAAACTCGCCATGCCTCTTATGAAGTACGTCGGACTGTCAAAAAGGGGTCATTTGGGGATATCTGTACTATTGACATTCTTGGACCTCAAGAAATTAGACTAGCCGTTAGTACTTCAGGATTGATCAATATTCAGATATATATATAGTTTGTGAACTCTATAACCTTCCTACGAACTAAATAATACATCCTAATTTGGGTTATTTTCACCAAAGACATGTAGCAGAATACATCTCTGCCTAAATTTATGAAGAACAATTATTTATTTGTAAACTTTTATAACAGAAAGAAAAACGTTTTTTTTTTTTTCAAAATTTTTGGTCTTTTTTTGTTAATTTAGCAAAAAATAAAAACCCCAGCGGTGATTAAATACCACCAAAAGAAAGCTCTAGTTGTGTGAAGAAAATGATAAAATTTTAGTTTGGGTACAATGTTGTATGACCGCGCAATTGTCATTCAAAGTGTGAGAGCGCTGAAACGTGAAAAATGGCCTGGGCAGGAAGGTGTAAAATTGCCCGGTATTGAAATGGTTAAACATACAGTTAATAAATCTATAGACATATATAAAAAATGATCGTAAAACTTAATGACATTTCGTCGAAGTGGAATTTCTACCGGCACAGGTAGACACAACAAACACACATGCTCACTAGATTGCCAAAGGTATTGGGATGCCTGCCTTTACACACACA